TAAATATGGGTAATAATATGAATTAAAAATAGAATTAATAATAGATTAAATTAATTAATATAAATTACTTATTCACCCAATTTAGTAGTGATTAACAACTACTGCGCTATGTGCTGCAGCTATGCCATATGCTGTGTCATGTCTACTGCATTACATGAATAAGCTAATTGGTTACAATATGTATATTTAGTCTCAGCTAAAGAAATATTTAGATTTGTTATAAAATAAGCAGTGATAATAAAAGATCTAACTTTTCTCAATTAATTAAGTTTACTTAATATGCAGATGATGAAGTTGATTTTGATCAAAAAGAAAGTGAAATTGATAAATATCTATGTAATAATTTTGATTGAATTATCTCTCTTTAGATCTCTTTTAGTTTAGATCTTTATTTTATACTATTTGTATAACAGATTAGCTTTGTATTACATTTTTAAGAAGATTAATTTCACTCTGAATATACAGATAATTATTATATATTTAATATATTTAGATTTAGCATATTGTTACTTAAATGATTATTATGTATATCACAATTATTAATTTAGATTATTAATATTTTTAATTAATTATTTCTTTATAATTTTATTCATTTTTCTTATCATTTATTTATATTATTATTTATTATTATTTATAATTATTAATTATTAGATTATAATTAATTATCTTTCAGAGATATGAATTAAGTTAATTAATTTTGTTCAATTTATATGTATTTTAAAATAAATTTTATTATTAATTTATTCACTTTTATATTCATTTCTTTTATTATAAATAAGATCTCTCTGTTCTGTAATTTTTCTTTCAGATTTAAATACTTTTAATAATAAAAATAATCATAAGTTATAAAATTAAAACTATTCATATTATATTTTATCTTATTTATAATCATTAACAAAATAATCTTACAATCTATTATTAATAATTTATTCTTCCTATTAGTTTATTGAATAGTCTTTATGTCAAGCTCTCAAGTTTTAACAAGTTAGATAAATGAGTTTTGTTTTGATGAATTACCTAAATAGTATTGAATATAATTATTAATCAAATCTAAAATTAGATAAACTAATAGTGTTTAATTGATATTTGAGATGTTCTCTATAAGATAATCATTTTTCTTACTTGATTCAAATTTTAGCTTAAATAATAATATTAATAATGATATAACATTATTATTTATTTTAGCATTAATATTATTTAGAAGATATATATTGTCACTTTCATATATTTTTGTTAAGATTTATGCTTTTTCAAATTCAGTTTTGTTAAATAAAAAAGATTTTATCTTTATATTAAAATCTAATATATTATCTATAATATGCTCTATTATAATACTTTCAATTACAAGACTTGTACTTTTAGTATCTGCTGATCATAATTATCATTACTATTAATATAATAAAAATTATTTAAAAATAATATATTATTATAATAAGTATTAATTATTTTAGATACAGATTCAGACAGATCAGAATTGATCACTTCAGAAGTTAAATTAGATTTCTTGAAAATAGGAGCTTTTATATTCATAATGTATATCTTTAGTAAGAAATATTAATGGTGATAATATTAAGTAACTTCATTAAATTAGGCTGCTTTGACTTTAAAATTATTAATATTAGAATAAATAAAATAAGACAATTAATAAAAGACAGATATCAAGCTTTATTTAACTTAGTAAAGTAAAGATAATTTATTTTATATCATTAGAAGGCTAGTTTAGAAGTAAAGCTGGCTTCTGATGATTATTTTATATTAAGAATTATAGAAATTGAGTATAAAAATCTTTATCAATCTCTTAATTGAATATACTTGTCCTATAATTAAGAAATAAATTTGATGATCAATATTATTATTACTAATAATATTTTAATATATATTATATAATAAAAAAATTTTTTATATAATAATAATTATAAATAATATAATATTTAAATTTTTATTAATTATAATTAGTAAAATTTTTAAGTATTATATTATTTTTGATTATTATTATAATTATTAAATAATTAAATAATTAATTAATTATCTATTTATTTATTATAAATTATATAATAATTATATATATTATTATATAATATATTATATATATATGTATATATATTTATTAGATATTATATATATTATTATATTATATATAGTGATAATCAAAAGTAATATAATACTTAGTAAAATATATAATTTTTCTTATATATAAAAGTTTTTAATTTTACTAACAAATATTTTTTATTTTTAGCTTAAAAATATTTTAAGTTCTCTAGTTTAACATATATTTTTTTCAGAATTTTCAAATTTTTATCAGCAACTTGTTCTAATTACATATAAAGTTAATTAATTTTTACTAATTATTAATTAATAAAAATTAATTAACTTCATATGTAATTAGAACAAGTTGCTGATAAAAAATCCAAAAATTCTGAAAAAAATATATGTTAAACTAGAGAACTTAAGCTATTTTTTAAGCTAAAAATAAAAAATATTTATTAATAAAATTAAAAACTTTTATATAAAGAAAAATATATATTTTATTAATTATAATTAATAAAAAATTAAACCATTCAGTTACTTTTAAATGCTACTATATATTTTCTTTTTAACTTTTAAATTTTGAAATTAAAATAATAAAAGCTTTTTTCAGTTAGCAAGAGTATTATTTTATATTAAGCATTAATTTAATAAAGATCTAAATGTATCTTTAATATATTTTCTAAGATTTTTTATTTTTATAATTTGAATTTATAACTGAGAGAAATATATTATCTGCAATGTGATTAAATGATTTGTATTGTAATTTCCATTAATTACAATGTCATTGAGATGTCATTTATGAGTTCATTATTTTGCTTTTTTACTTACTATTGTTTTTATTTCATCAGGATTGATAAAGTATTCTTCATTCTTAATCATGTAATCTAGAATTACATAAGTAAATGTTCTTTTCAAAATACTTTTTATTATGTTATCTTTATTTGATTCGAATATTTTTTCTCTCATTAGAATGACTTCAGTTATTTGTTTCGTTTGTTCGCATTTAGATATGAGTTGTAAAGCATTTTTAGTAACAGATACACTATAATCATCATCAAGTAATGCACATTTTCCAATTAGTTACACCATTTACTTGAGTTTAAAAAAATATAAAAAATATATAAATTATATAAAGCAAGTCTTGAGGATTTTTTTTGTTATCGTAATTTTTTTATTTTATTAAAAGTTTTCCAAAAAACGGCAGAGTAAGTGGTGCGTTGTTTTTACAGGCCACTGTATATTAAATTAGTCGTCATTAATAGTTAAGTCTTCTAATAATTCCTCTAATCTTATCTCAGGAAAATCTTCTTCCTCCTCCTCCACATCCCCTTGTGATATTTCTTTTCCGTCCACATCCATTTCGTTATTTTCCTTAGAATTTGGCATTTTATAAAGATTTACTGATTGTCTGAATTCAGGATCTTCTTCAAGATCCCGCAAAAACATCTCGTAATCTTGTTCAATTTTTTCGGCATCATTCTTCTTTTGTTTCATTTCATCCTCTTCTTTATTTAATGACTTCAATTTCCAATTTCTGGACTTTTTTTTCTTCCGTCTATTTGGATACGATTTCTTCACTAGTATTACATCAGGTAGCTGGTCTCGATTTAACGCATCATATACCTTATCATTAAAATTAGAAGAAGAAAGATCATATCCCAGGACAGTATCGCCGGGGTTAAGAATACCACCAAGATGTGAGCGAGCGAAGCTAGTAACATTATTTTTGCCAAAATCTGTAGAACGAGCTACTTGTATGTCTGCAAGAACAAACTATAATAATATGATAACAAATATGACGGTTAGTTTATGATTAAAAAAGGTTTTATATCTTTAATCAAGGCATGGTACCTTATCACGGACTGGGCCTAAAGGTTCCACATCCAATACATAATACTCTACTAGGTCTTTAGATGTTGCCAAAGAAGTAAATGGCATCCTCCAAAATAATGCAGTTTGCACCTCAGAAACTGATAAGAGAATGTAAAAACTCGCATTATACTTTAAAATTTATTAACAAATAAAAAACATAATTAGAGCTACCTGCCAATGTGTTAGGGTCCATTACATGAATAGAATTGCCAATACGATAGCATATCACCAATGGACTAAAATAAATCAATATAATATTGAATAAATTTTTAAAAATTGAAAAACGAAATCAATTAATAATGGCAAACCTAATATTTCCCAATGATCGAGCAACTTTCAACGGGAGACAAACTAAATCATCCTTGCATATAGGAACAATCTCAACGGAGAAAGTAAACTTATAATTGGAGGTATTGCTGTGAATATCAGTAGAGATAAGCTGTTCTGATGTTTTTGACCTAAAGTTTTTTAATTCAGTATGAGTAAGGAATTTGAAGAACATGCTTAGTTAACAATTGTCAAGAGCATAAATTACCTTGAAGGAGTAATATTAGTCAGAAATTCCACCATTTTTAATGCATGTGACTTTTGTGCATAAAAGAAATCAATACCATCTTTTACTTCTTTAATATTAATTGTATCCTTATGTGCATTATGTTTCAAGATTAATTGTTCTAAATATAGAAATGTTCTCTTATGATTGACTTTTTGCCTGACTTGAACTAAAGCTTGCCAAGTATTTTGAGCCATTACACGCGCACAATCATTACATTGCTGATAACTAACAATATATTCTACCTCAAAAACTTGTTGCAGAATTGTTGATGCGAAAACCTGAACATTTCAAAAATCGAACATTTAGAATTTCGACTTATATATAGCTCGTAAAATGGTAATAAACTAAAGGATAATTACCTCCTTTTGAATTGTAAGCTTAACTTTTATCCGCCTAGAATGTGGTTCAGTCCATATAAAACCTGCGTCAATTAGCCGGACCTTGTTCAGACCCTTTAGCTTTTTTAAGCATAAACCCAGTAATTCCCTACTCTCTAACAGCGCATTTATCCATATAGTTGGCGGCTGAAGATATCGCTCGCAGTTTCGGCAAAAATGTAAGGTAGCTTGTTTGGGGATCCCTTCCGAGATATCTACCTCATTGCGAATGCAATTTATGCACATATTAGAGGGGTTGGGAGTAATTGCAGTTCCACATTGGCAACATAGACTTGCAAAAAAAAGCAACATAATTCGTCAGCAGCAACTTTAAAAACGTAAATCGACTTTCTCACAATACTCACATTTTCTGTTCTACAACCACCGGGCTATATTCCATTGCGAGAACAAGAAGTTAAAACGTTCAAGGTTAACGATTTTCAACTTATCGTTATTTATTCTTATTAACTGTCTTATCACGTGAAATCTAGATTGTCAAAAGAAAGAAGACAACGACAACAATGTAACTTAATAAGAAATGGCAAGTTCAAGTATCTCAGAGGCGCAACTTCAACAATTTTTCAATGCCATTGATACGGATCGTACCAATAGTCTCAGTCCGACTGAGCTTCAACAAGCTCTCCTTTTGAATACTGATGGTTCCCCTTTCAATCTTGATACTATACAACTTTTGTTCAACATGTTTGACTTTGACCGTAGCGGTAGCATTCATTTCCAAGAATTTGCAGGCCTATGGCGTTACGTTGAAGAATGGAAGAAGATATTTGCATCTTTTGATCGTGATAATAGCGGAACAATCGATACCTCAGAGTTGAAAAATGCTTTACTTGCATTCGGATTTAATGTTAGTGATCGATTCTTAGATATTATAGTGAGAAAATATAATTCCAGGCATCGAGCTCCTGGTGTTCCAAAGAACTCACCGCAACATAATGCAGCTGTAAATTTTGATAATTTCGTTCAAATCTGTGTTACGATGAAAACATTGACAGATAGATTTAGAGCTCTGGATAATGATGGTGATGGGTGGGTAAAAATTAATTATGAACAAATGTTGGAACTTATTCTGAAAAGTTTATGATTAATGCTTATTGTGTGTCAATAAACTTGTACATTATTTATTTTTATACATCAATATATAACAAGCAAGCCCATTAATAGAATATCATCCCAATTTAGCAGAAATCAGATGTAGATTTGACGTGTAATTCATCAGATGTGGTAAAAAGATGACCTTCGTTCTTTAACATTTCAATTGAATCTCTATCATTTAAGCAGATAATTTTTATTAGTGCTTTATTTCTTTCTTTATGTATAAAAATCTTATAGAATATGTTCATTAAATACCTCACGGTGCTCTGACCATAAATGCTAAATTTGTTTATAATATCTTGAACTTTAATCTCTCTATCGTTTCCTTTAAATTCTTCCACATATCGCATTATTGCTTTATCAATATCCGTGAAGTTGGTAGGATATAGGTCATCCGGTTCATTCTTGAATCTGTTAAACTGATCATTGTTACCACCACCACCACTAGAAATGAATGTATTGTTCTCATATTGAAACGCTGTCGAATTCTAGGAATTCAAAAAAAAAAGGTATTAATATTTTGTCAAACAACATTAAGAAATAATTGATACTACCTTTGGGGTTTTGGTAAGAGATAGATGGACCTGAATTACTTCTAGAAAATGATAGCTGATTTCATTATAGTCATTAATTAGACGTATAGAGAAAGGATTTACAACAATTCTTTGAGATAATTTGACGATTCCGAGCACCCGAACATAAGTATTCGCTCTATATAATTTATTACAGAATTTGAGTTATATTCCTTCTCTTATATAAAGTTCTAAATAAAAAGTATCACAATACCTGGTTTCGAATTTCTTTTCATTCGAGTCGTCGTTGAAAAATGATTTAACTTCGATTGATCCGGTGCCATCTTCCATGATATAATTAATATAGTTTGTTTGCTCATTTACAGACCTAACAGTTGCTACAAAAGTAACACTAGAAATATCATGTCCATCAAGCTGAAGTGGTTCCTTAGGTTCTATAGACAATATTTGCTTAATAGTCACTGGTCGTAATGTTTGCCGAGTTTCCTTTACAGAACTTGACTATGATATACAATCCTAAGGTAAAGAGAATGTTTCAAGTGAAAAAAATGACACAATGTTCAGAAAAAAACACGGAACCTGATTTTTCGGGGAATCGGAGCTGAAAAAGGAGGAACCTTCAGAGGGTGAGATCCAACCACCTCCTTGACTTTGCATATCTCTTTTAGGCGTTCCATAGCCACTACCGTAGTTTGGACCATAACCCTCTTTTAAATTCGAAAAATTGACGCGTCAAGAACAAGATTTGAAACTTATAGTTATAGCTTGCATTTATATAGCTTATAAAAGCAAGTTAATTTTTCAATTTTACCTGACATCTTTTTTATGTATGTAAAGAAAGTACGCGTTTAAAATTTCAATTATTCAAATATTTAAAAAAGATCAACCACGGTTTGAATTGCAATCTGCAGATTTGATTTCCCCATTTATTAATAATTGGAAAGCTCTAATAAATACAGTTCACCCTTTTGACATTTCTTATCTTTAGAAACACGAACGTTATGACATTTAAATTTTTTTTTACATAAAACGGCTGTTTAAATTCCGTCATTTTTTGGCGTACTGGAATTCAAACTTGGCAAATTCGAATAAAAGAGACTAGAATTTTGAAATTCAGGCTACCACTTTTTAATAAACGACGTTTATTAAGCACTTATTAAATTAATGTTACTTCATAATAAATACGACTATGTATCACCAATAGTTCTAAAATTTGAAACTCGCTCGGGGCATGTCTTAATGGGAACTTTACCAAGCCGTGATAATGGCCAGATAATATGTGTCACTTTGGCATTTATCAGTCCGAGTGGAACCTACATTATCATTTAAATCAATCAATGATGATGATGGTAATGATGATGATGGTGATAATAATAATAATGATAATATTCCTTACAGGGCCGAACGAATTACTGTCTTTGCTATGAAAATTCTCATCTCCCTCCACCCAACAATACCCTTTTGGCACAATCACATATTTTTCTGGATACGAAGATAATGTTTTAACAGTGTCGCCTTCTAACGCGATAATGCGTTTGGTTATTAATAGATCGGGGTCAAATGGTGACCTTGTTACATTATTAAAAATCGCGTTATTATATAAATAAAAGAATAAAATAGATCGATTTTTTGGAGAACTTCTATTAAACAGACGAAAAATACCATAATGTGACCACATCCCCAATTTCATATTTCCGCCGCGCTATAGCCCATCGATTCAGTAAAACAATATCGTGTCGAAGTCTGTTCGAGTCTGGGTTAAACGTGGGCTGAGTGCGTTCAGTTTTGTGTAAATATTAATCGATGAATTCATTAAAGAACAAGAACTACATCACTGTAATACTTGAAAAAAAAGTTGGATAAATTATTTACTTGCATCGAACGTCCGTTTACCGAAGCAACACTGTACACGTGGTCGACAAAAAACGCGAAAACTGGCACCCAACCTAGTTGTCTTAATATGTACTGTGTTTTGGGATTGTAGAAAAATTTGAACATTTTTGGTACCTCTCTAAATGCAACCCCCCCCCCCCAAATGCGATGATAACCAATCAAAATTCGTCCGAATAAAGTTTTATACTACTATAAATTTACAGTATAACATTTAGGAAACAGAAAAATTTAAAATAGCTTATATGGATGATAATATATATTATGTAATATCATTTCTCTAGTAAGATATTCTGATCACGTGAATATAGATTAAAATTCTAATGATATCATGTGATCAGTTAATTCTGTCTTATTTAATTAAGTTATTAGGTATTGGAATTTATTTAAATGTAAAAATTTTTATTATATATCTTTT